TAGGGCACCTACCCAGGTTTCAGGTTTGATCCCTGATCAGGGAGCATATGGGAGGCAACTGATATATGTTTCTATCATAGCAAATGCTTCTTTCTCTCTCTGTCCCCTTCCTTTCTCTCTAAAATCAATAAAAGCATGTCCTCATGTGATGATTTTAAAGTCTATGAAAAAGAAAACCCTACATTTCAGTGAAAATATTCAAAAGGCACTTACTGTCAGCAGAATTGTGCAATGCAGTAAATTTGTCTTTAGCCTGTCTCTTCTGGGACCTACAATCACTTCCTTGTCTTGTTCCTCACCACCCCCAGCATTTCTCACTCAAAACTCTTTCTCTTAATTTGCCCTCACATAGAACTGAATTTAAGTTAGATAATTATTTTTCATTTTCTCAGGAATCAAAAGTTTCATTATACTAAAGCGATAATGTTTTAGTAGTTAGAGTTCAACTTAATTTAATATGTAGGAGAATAGATTGATGGGCTTTTCTGCCATGGAAACCAAATCATGAACCCTATTTCCAAATACTAGTATTTCCTGATTTCTTAAATCCTTGTAGTTTAAAATGAATAATTTGTTTCTTATTTAGGAAATCGCTCTAGTAGGAAATTGTTCTGGTATTGCTATCATTTTTTTCCTTTTGATTTTGAGTTGCTCATTTTTGTCACTTTTTTCCCTATTGTGTCATAATGTTTTTCCCTTTATTAAATTGTATAAAAGCAAATTATAATGGCTCTGATGAAAGGGGTCACTTTGAAAGCTTCTTGTGTGATTTAGAATACTAAACAAGGCCTCCTGTGTACTTGCCTAACATCAGTAGATGGCAGCAAACACTCTCCTGTGAAGGGTTCTGGGTGTGGGGATTCCATTTTATTTGAATAGCAGTTAAATTCAGAAGCAGAATGTCATCAAAATGGATGTCTTTTAGTAATCCTTGTGAAAGGATTTATTTCCAGTTTATTTTACCATGCATACCATGGAAATAAAGGCTGAATAATTTACTACCATAAAACCTCATTAACTGAACCCTGCCAATTGAAATTGGTTATAATTTAAAAAGTGGCTTGGGCTGAAGCTTATTTGCTTTTGTTCAGTCTATGGAAAAGAGTTTGCTCAGCAACTTAATAGCATAACTTTCTTAGAAGACTAGAAATTGCTTAAAAGAACTATGATTTCAAGTGACTTTAAAATAGATATTTCATTTAAAAAAAGAAGAAGAAGAAGTCCAGGCCCTTTCCCATTAATAGCTGACTTGGATAAGGATAGTTCTCAATGATGTAGAAATCTGTGAGACAATTTGAAAAATGAAATTGCAACTCAGAAATTGTTAATTTGGTGGCATTCTACAGATATAACTCAAGTAAAATACATTCTTCAATCCCTGTCTTAAAATACGGTGCATTTACAAAAGGCACATATATACAATGCAATACAAAAAGAAATGCATAGTTTTACTTGAGTTTAATTCAGCAGACATTTATTGAATTCCCAACATATTCCATACACAGCACTGTGTAAAGAAGCACTGAAGATACAGAGGTGAATAAGACACGGATTCTGTCTTTAAGGCACAGTCTATAAGGGGATGTCTGTAATAGAAATATATATATATATATATATATATATATATATATATATATATATATATATGGCATATTAAGTACAGAGGAAGGAAGGAAGGAAGGAAGGAAGGAAGGAAGGAAGGAAGGAAGGAAGGAAGGAAGGAAGGAAAGAAGGAAGGAAGGAAGGAAGAGCAAAAACAAGAAAGCAAGAGACAGAGGGATGGAGGGTGGAAGGGAAAGAGATAGAGAGAACAGTAGTAGTCCAGAGAGGGGAAATTATTAACATTATTCAAAAGAATCAGGGAAGGCTTTCTAGAACTGCCAACATTGAAGCTGAGTTGAAGCATGAATATGAACTTGCCAGAAAGAAAACTTAAGAAGGACATTACAGTCAGAAAATAGCATATAAAGAAGGTATGAAGGCATATACCTGATAATTTTAACTTATTCAATATCACTTGAATATAAAATTAGTGGTGGATGGTGGTACTGGAGTTTTAGGAGAGGAAGCTAAAAGGTTAAGCAGGAGCTGATCATGAGCTACAATTAATTTGTTATGGTCAAAGCGTAAGGTTCTGGTGGGAAAGTGGTCCAATAAGATGGAGAATGAAGCAAGAACCAGATCATGAAAAACCTTATATTTCATGCCAAGGAGTTTAAGCTCTACCCTGTGGGTGTTGGGGGAGCATCAAAGACTCTTCAACCATATAATCATATGATCAATTTTGTACTTCGAGCATTCTGACAGAGGTATGAAGCCTAGACTGAAGTGGGCAGGGCTGGAAATAAGGAGTCCAGGTAGGAGGCATTTGAAATAGCCCAGACAAAAATAATGATATCCCAACTAGAACAGTAGTAGGAAGGAAGGGACAGATTCAAATAATATCTAGGAAGTAAATAGATACAGGCCCAAGACTCAGTGGACAACTGCATGTGGGGAGTGAAGGTAATGGATGAGTCAAAAAACACTTCCAGGTTTCTGATTCAGGCTACTGAGTAGATAGATGGTAGTATCATTGACTGAGATTGAAAATACAAGAGAAAAAGAATTATAATATAACAACTCACATATTATGCAAGTCTTACTTTAACCTGAAACATGGACTTCTATTACAATAAACAAACAACAAAAAAGCAACAACAACAAAGCTGATGAGCAATCCATGAGTGAAATTTTTAATTAATTACTTTTTAAGATATACTGTTTGCTGGTAGTTCTAAATTAAGTTGTTCACTAGCCCAGAGAATGAATCATTGTCTAAACTGAGCATGAGGCATTGTCTGTGGCACACAGTTTAGTACTTGAATACATATTTTCTTGTTCTTATTCATTTAGTCAACAAATGAATTCAGTAGCAGCCAATATTCTAAGCACTAAAGTTGCAGGAATGAAAAGACAAGGTTTCTGTCCTCAAGAAGAAGCACATTAGCCTTAATGGAAGGATCAGAAAAAAATTCATAAAGGAGAATGACTTGAGATTATATTTAAGTGATAAATAATAATTCATGTGTTGAATAGGAAAGGGAAAGGGGGAGCATCTGCAAAGCCTTGGACAATGATAGTATTACTAGGATATAAAGTTGGAAGGATTGAGAAGAAAGGAATATGAGGCTAGACTGGTCAAGTACAAGCTAGATGGTGCTTGATGGTAGAGCTTTCTATGCCAGGCTAAGAAATTTGAACTTGACCCTGTAGTGAGGAGGAACTTTTGAAGAATTAAGAATAATGGTTCAAATGTATGGTAGGTTGACCATACATTTTAGTTTATCCAAGACAGTCTCAGATTATGAATTATATAGTTACCATATGTCAAAGGCATTGTGGAAGAGGAATTAAGGAAGGCAGAGTTTAGACTCGGAGCGGTTCTCAACCTGTGGTTCGCGACCCCTTTGGCTGTCGAACGACCCTTTCACAGGCGTCGCCTAAGACCATCCTGCATATCAGATGCTTATATTATGATTCATAACAGTAGCAACATTACAGTATGAAGTAGCAACGAAAATAATTTTATAGTTGGGTCACAACATGAGGAACTGTATTTAAAGGGCCAGAAGGTTGAGAACCACTGGTTAGAGGTATGTAACAACTAATACGATTGCGTGGTAAAGAGATGTTGAGAATCTGAACAATGACAACGGCCCTGGCATGAAGAGTATGGGGTGAATAAGAGTGACAATGAGGATACAGAATCTACAGACCTTCTCTTAATTGGTTCATGTGTGTAAATCTTGTTTTACTAACTGATTCTACTATTCTTTGGGACAGCGGTCATATTAGTAAAATATAACTCAAATATAATGATACTGATATGTTTGCTTCTAAAAAGAAAGGAAGGAGGGTAAGAGACATCCAAATAAATTACTCCCTTCAAAGTAATCCCTTTGAGAAGCTGTACCGTTATTCCCATAATGCTATGGCCCAGAATTTTTCTGGACCTATTTGAGCACTGCATTGAAGAGTCAACTGTCACTTCCTCTGGATTTATTCCAAATGGTGGAAAGTATTCAACCTCTGAGTAGTATATTTGATATTTTTAAATAATAAAAGTAATATTTGTTCCAAATTCAAAATGATAGATTAATGGTTTTCTTCTGTGGCTTATGAACTTATGCTACAAAGTTGGGAGCAATCTATGGAAACAGAAAATACAATAGTGGTTGCCTAGGAATCAGTTGGAAAGCTGAGGGGTGGTGAAAAGTGCTGGTAACAGGTACAAGGTTTCTTTAAACTTTGTATGAGGAAAATGTTCTAATATTAGATCATGATAAAATTTAGTAAATTTGTACAACTCTAAAAATTTACTAAAAGTTGTTGAATTGTGCACTTTAAATGGGTGAACTTTATGCTATGGAAATCATACCTTATTAAATATTTTAAAGATGTTTGGAGTGCTAGTAGGGTACTAGGTTCAGGGGTGTATTTTTTTTAAAGCATGAGTCTCATCACTTTATGATTAAACTTTGTTTCCATCTCCATCTGCATCTTTCCTAGCACAGTACTGGGTTCATAGTAATTGCTTAATAGTTATTTGTTCAGCATAATTGAATGTACTATAGTGCTCAATTTTATTTCATATCAGAGAAGATAGCAATTTTATTAAATTGTGTGTATAAGTTCTTAGATGTTTTTAGCTCCTAATGTACAGTATCATTTATGGGTACTTTTAATAAATGTTGAGTTATGACCAGTCTTTTCTTTATGTTTCACAAACATCATCAATTTTTATTACAAACAGCATAGATTGTTATTAGTACTTAAATTAATAGATTACTATTTGTTTAAGAAAATGTATCATTATCCATATAAATTATAGAAATCACACAGGAATGTTGTTCAAATGTTTTGTCATTACTTCTGACATCTTAATTTTTAGTATTACATAAAGATAAATCAATCAGTTTCAACCTCATTCTCTCTCTCTCCTTCCCTTCCCTACTCAGGAAGCATTGTGAGTGTTGGTGATCCAAAGAAAAAATACACAAGATTTGAAAAAATTGGCCAAGGGTAAGTGATTCTTATTGAAATATCAACATATATGTATCAAATATATACATTAAAATTTAATAACAGCATGGATTTCTGGTAAATTATGCTCCTCACTTTCTGAGTTATATTCATGTTTTCATCCTCAGTGTTGGCCTTTCTGGTTGGCCAACCAGAACATATCCTGCTGGAATCTTCTCTATTGTTGGGCTGACAATGAAATTGTTAGGGACATTTTGATCCCATTTGGTTAGAAGATTCAAACTGATTTCTCAAGAAAAGTAGTAGGCTTACCAGAAACCTCTTGTGTGTATGAAACCCCCTTTATCCCTGCCCCCTTACACCTGTATGAATGTTATGCTTAAGATACCTCTTCTTTGTCAAACTGGAAAGTGACAGAGTGAGGGTAGGGAAAGTCCTTATTGAATGATCCAGAGGTAAATATCTGAGTAAAGAGGAAACTGATCAATAATCCCTAAAAGAGATTGAGTGCATCATTTTCACCTATTATGCTCAGTAAGAATAAGATTCCAGGAGAACCAAGATGGTGGCACAAGTAAACGCCAGTACTTGATGCCTCCCACAACCACATCAAAATTACAACTAAAGTACAGAACAACCATCATTCAGAACTGCCTGAAACCTGGCTGAATGGCAGTCCTACAACTAGAGAAGTAAAGAAGGAAGCACATTCAGACTGGTAGGAGGGGTGGAGGTGCAGAATGAGCTGGTCCGGTACCCATGTGCAACATTTTTTTTAATCGGGAGTGATAGCTTGGCTGTGGAGACCTACCCTGAGGAGCAAGGGGTCCCAGATGCCCAGGTCAGGGTTCCAGAGCCAAAAAGAGGAGTCCCTAAAACTTCAGGCTATAAAAACCACTGGGGATTGTGACTGAGTGAATGAAGGCTGCTGAAGTCCCATGCAGTTTATTTTAAAAGGCCAGTGCACAAACTTACATGGTTCCTCTCCCTCTGGGCTCCAGTGCTAGATGGCAGCATTGGAGGATCCAGGGACATACGAGGAGGAACTGCATTTTCTGTCATCAGAGCAAGAACTCAGGGGTAGCTTTCTCTCAGAGTGGGGTGCTTGCAGGGTTCATTGTTCCTGTGCTGGGATCTCCCCCATTGAAAGCCTGACTGACAGCCATATCTGAGTTTCCATCAGCTTGGCTCACACTGTTTGCTCTACCCTGGTGATTCCCTAAGACCCCGACCCATCCAATTTGTAGCCCCAGCCAAGGTTTTGGCAGCAGCTTTTCCATATGAATGGCCTGTCCTGTCTCAGGTTTCAGACATTCCTAAAATCTCAAACAAGCAGCAGCTGGTGTCAGCATGTCACATGCCTATCAATCAGAAACCCAAGACCCAACATACCTAGAGTGCCCAGCTCAGGAGACTGGGTAGGCTGAGCCACTGGGCCCTACAGGACACCTACTACACAAGGCCACTCAACCAATTCCAGGAGACATAGCAGCTCTACCTAATTCATAGAAACAAACACAGGGAAACAGCCAAAATGTAGAGACAAAGAAGCATGTCACAAATGAAAGGACAGAAGAAATCTCCAGAAAAAGAACTAAATGCAATGGAAGCAAGCCAACTACTGGAAACAGAGTTCAAACAATGGGTCTAAGGTTACTCAAGGATCTTAATGATAACTTCAAGGGACTTAGTAAGAGCTTCAAGGGACATAGTGAGACTTTCAAGGATATTAGTGAGAATTTCAAAGACATGAAATAGGACAAATCAGAAATTAAGTATACACTAACCTAAATAAAGAATAATTTACAGGGATTCAACAGTAGAGTAGAAGATTTCAAGAATCAAATCAATGATTTGGAATATGAGGAAGCAAAAAACACCCAATCAGAAGAGCAAAAAGAAAAAAAAGAATCCTCTGGAACAACTGCAAGCATACCAACAATCACATTATGAAGGTGCTAGAAGCAGAAGAGAAAGAGCAAGATATTGAAAAAAAAACTATCTGAAGAAATAATAACAGAAAACATCCCCTACCTGGTGGAAGAAATAGACATATAAGTCTAGGAAACACAGAGAGTCCCAAACGCGAGAAACCCAAAGAGGCCCACACCGAGACACATCATAATTAAAATGCCAAGGGTTAAAGACAAAGAGAGAAACTTAAAAGCAGCAAGGGCCTGCCAGGCATGGCTTAGTGGTTTATTGTGGACCTATGAACCAGGAGGTCACAGTACAATTCCAAGTTGGGGCACATGCCCAGGTTGCAGGCTCAATCTTCAGTGTGTGGTGTGCAGGAGGCTTCAGATTAATGATTCT